GACCCGGCGTACCCTGCGGCGGGCGGACAGCCTTTGCAGAGGCAAGGGGTGGTTTTTCCCTTTTGCTTGTTTTTTCCTTTCCACATCAGAATCAGTAATTAGAAGTGACAATAAATTAAACTGACCGAAGTTCCCCATCAGTCAACTCTTTTTGCCTGTGACACTGCCTCATTAAACAGCTGTATATTCTTGCCGGCAAGAGAGTCACACACAGTTTTCTTTGATGTCAAATAGTTTCAAAATAACCAATCAGGCTGCAAACTGTACACTTAGATGCTTGATTAATTACTGCTTTGCCAGTTGGAGACTTTCAAGACACGGGCCATTTCAGTTACCTCTTTCCCATAGTGTCACATAGCATGTTCGGGTAAGCAAAGAAACCAAGGAGACTGAGCACGGAAGACTAACTAAACGTTTCAGCAACCATTAAGAAAAAAATCCAAGCATAAAGTTTTTGCTGTCGTTATAAAGAACACTCTGCTATACCAGACTTCATAACTTTAAAAATGTCTTTAAAACAAATACATTCTCAAAACATTTATTTGAAGGCAGAAAATATCACAAGCTGGTATTTTTGTTATCTAACAACAATCTACACACCTTCATCTAATGTTCATAGCCCACTTTTCCACCGTTTTAAAAACAACTGAAAATCATACAGAACTCACGCAAGTTTGCTCTCTGCTTTTGAAACTGGTGGGAGACACCGAATGCAGCACCGTAAGTATCACTGAATGCAATTATTAGAATATCCTTTCTCCTCTCTCGGCAAAAGAAAGTTCAAGTTGAGAGATAAAGGACACTTGGAAGTATACTGTATTTGAATCAATGATTACTCCAGAGAGAAATTCTGAAGCACCACGTCCCATGAGTAACAACATTTACTCTGCTTCTATTACGCGTTCTAGAATATTTGCATTTAGCCTTTGTACAAGGTAATCTCGTACATTTCTATCTTTACAAAGTGCAGGAAAACATGTCCTGAAAAACTTCAACATCCACCACCGGAATTAGTTTTGCTTCTCACCACTAAGTAATCCAGACAGCTGGTCACCAGTTCGATGAACAACTATAGTGACTCTGACACCTCCCTCTTCTCCATTACTGTTCCAGAAAGACAAACTGAAGGGCCACCAGCGATTTAGTCTGTCAAGATGTCTCTTTATTTGAAATAATGATACTGTATGTAGAGGAGTGCACATCAAAGCTGCACAGCGTTACACGGGGGAAAAAAATCAGAGGCAATGATACATTGGAAGTAATGCTACTCGTCAATTAAAAAACC